CTCTTCTAGTTGAAATGGGAGATACACATTTCCTCTCATATCTAGTTTGATGCTGAATCTAAATAGAACTTCCAGTGTTTTGCTTTTTAAAAGTTTGGGCTACAATTACAGTTTTAATATATTACGAGATTTTCTCCATTGCATGAAGTGTCTCTTGTCAGTTTAGGATATACTAGCTATGATTCTGCTTGCACAGACAAAGTGAGACCCAGTGAGCCATGCCTTGATGGAATACTGTAGATTTGACTACTGTAATGCCTATAGGTGTGGTGGTGTATCACTGAAAGAAGCGGTCCATGGGTCTTTTTTTGTTTGTTTATTTTTGGCCTTAGGATCTTATCCGTGAAGCATAGACCAAATTGTCATCCAGCAAAATTCCCCCATAGAAATCACTGTTTTGTGAAGCAAAATGGCGGTCACAAAACGTCACCATGGGATTCATCGTTTTGAGGGATAATGGTCTTGCGAGGTACCACTGTATTTTGCATATAAGTTAAATAAGCATGAGGACAATATACAGTCTTTTTGTACTCCTTTCCCAATTTTGAACTATTCCGTTGTTCCATATCCAGTTCAAACTGTTGCTTCCTGTCCCACATATAGGTTTATCAGGAGATAGATAAGGTGGTGAGGCACACCCATTTCTTTAAGAACTTGCTATAGTTTGCTGTGGTCCACACAGTCAAAGGCTTTTGCATAGTCAATGAAGCAGAAGTAGATGTATTTCTGGACTTTCTCCATAATCCAGCGCATGTTAGCAATTTGGTCTCTAGTTCCTCTGCCCCTTTGAAATCCAGCTTGTACTTCTGGGGGTTCTCAGTCCACATACTGCTGAAGCCTGCCTTGGAGGATTTTGAGCATAACCTTGCTAGTGTGTGAAGTGAGTGCAATTGTATGGTAGTTGGAGCATTCTTTGGCACTGCCCTTCTTGATGTTTAGCGTACCACAAAGTTCGTTACTGTTTTTGCTTCCAACTACCACCTGGAAGTTAGTTTAATATGACTTACTACTCCTATATACATATGCCTACATAGCACTGAAGCCTAAATCTTTTTTTAAAGGTCTATATGTTGGACTTTGTTCACTGATATATATTTCAGGTTTGATAACTGTCTTTTAGCATAGCAAGAAGTACAGTGGTGCCTCGTATAACGAGTGCACCGTTGAACGATGAATCCGCATTGCGATGTGGATTTCCCCATCGCTAATGCGAGGGCACGCTCGCATTACGATGGGGGAACAGCTGTTCTGCGGCTCCAAAATGGCCATAGGAACACAAAAAATGGGTGCCGGTACACCCAGGATGGCCGCCAGAACAAAAAAATGGCCGCTGGTACACCCAAGATGGCCGCCGGAACACCCAAGATGGCTGCTGGAACAAAAAAATTGGCCACTGGTACACCCAAGATGGCCACCAGAACACAAAAAATGGGTACTGGTACACCCAAAATGGCCGCTGGGATGCTCAAAATGGCCGCCGGTACACCCAAGATGGCTACCGGAACAAGGGAAAACATCAGAGAACGATTAGTTTTGAGCCCAATTGGGGTTTTTGATCCGTTTTACGATGTTTTCCCAGGAATGGATTTACCTTCCTATGCGGGGCACCACTGTACAGTTCTTTGTGTATTCAGTTTTTTTCTTCCCAGTGATAAAACTCATTTGTGTTAGATTCTGATGATAATCTAGAAACTGCTGAGTTCAGGGGTTACATGGGCAGAGAAGAATGTAAGTTGACAATGGAAGTATTGACAGTTAACCCATTTTTGGTTTTTTGTTGTAACCTAATGCAAAAGCCAGAGTGAAATGTCTTACATGAGTTCTAGTTCGTTGAGCAAAAGTGACACTGGCTGTTTTTGTGCTGAGCGAACTGAAGTGGTGCAATAGTGATATAAATCAAAATGCTTTGCAGTGTGACTTGTGAAAAAGGTGCACACCTCTAAAAAGACATTTCAAGGCTTCTTCCCCAGTTGTTTTCCACAATCCTAAAATGAGAGCATCTTGGAACTATAATTTTTAAAGAAGTCTCCAGGTTAGTCTGCAGCAGCATATATAGCAAAATTGAAAACAAAAACATTTATGGCATCTTGAAAACTTTATTTCAATGAGGATTTAGTGAATCAGTTCTTCCATATGTTTTCTTTGATTCAAATGGGCCTACTCTGGTTATGACTAGAGTAGGCGCATTTCTCACCTATTCCATGCCTGAGCGATCAGTACTGTGAACAGTTGGACTGTAGGACTAGACGGTTTGTGTTTTAGGCAAAATAAACAATATATTTACCAGCTAGAGTTCAGTAGATATCGCCAGATTACACTGTTTCCACTGGGATTGAACTTCCCTTCTGTAGCCTACCACACACCCTAAAACTCTGTTCCAAAAGGCTGGGGACCGCTTTGAACAAGTTTGTAGGAGAGGGAACTTAACAGGCTTCAGCAACGAAAAAGAGGAAAGAAGTCTAAGTTCTGCTGGCCTTGGATATCAAAGTGCACTGCTTTATCTTGGCCCTTTTCTAATTTCAGAGCAAAGCAAACTCGTGCTGTTTCACTATGGGGCGGGTAATTTCCCTATTGTTATTTGCTTCATATTTGCTCTTCTGATTTTGGATTAAGCCCTTGTGCTGTCTCAGTTCTTAATTTACCCAGTAGTGTTTATGTCAAGAGTCCTATTGTAATTCAAGGCTGGAAATTGTGCAGCAGCTGTGTGCAGTATGTTCACACTGCCTTCAGTGTAACAGTGTACAGAAACTCCACATTTTAATTCTCATTGTTATTTAGAGTGCCATCAGCAACTTTTAATTACAATGTGGAGCCATAAAGGAGCACTATACTTAATGCAGAATGTGTCTAAACATTTTAAAACTTGAAAGGGAAGAGTGGGGAAACAAGTATCTGTTTTTTGTTTTAAATTGTGGCAGACTGACTGTAGCACAAAGAGGATACGTGATCCCAGCAGTACCAGTTTAGCTTTGGCAAATTAATTAAGTAGTTTGCATTTTTAGCATTTCACACCTCTAAATTATTAGTATGCATTGCAAAATATGTTTCAGCACAGTTTGCTAATTAATGTTCTACGAATATTACAGCTGCTAATTTTTGTGGTTGACATGGCTCATTTCAGAGTGTTAATAAGTTGCTTCTGTAAGGGTGTGATGATAGTTTATAAATTCCAGTTGTACATATTATTGAGAGTGTCAAGGGGTTCGTTAAAGACCATAGTTGAAGCATGAGAAAACTAATAGTCATGCTGAATGTTTGATTTTAGTGGTCTAATAAATGTATTGGTTTTCCTGCAGTTTTGTTGCAAGAACATGTATAAAGAAAGAGAAATACATATAGTAATTGGGACAAAGCAAGATAATTCTTTTCTCATCTGCCATAAAAGACTGTTGCAACATCTGTAAGCATTTCATAAGATAAGGCAAATGCGGCTCAGATGGTGGTCAAGCAATTTATTAAAATATCCACAAAAAACTAACCAACCCATTTCTTGTTGGTATGTGTTAATTCACATAGGCTGAGGCAGCTAAAACTGTGTATATGGCCACAGTTTTATGATTATCACAATGAATAAATTTGTTAACCAGAATAAACCATTTCAGGTACACCAAGAATTCCATCTTAAACCAGCTATTAATAAGCATAAATCTTATTCAGAGAAAATATGTTAACACATTTGCCCTTATGTTTAACATTTAAACCCACAGCTTCTGTAAAATACTGAAGTTTGATTAAAATTGTTCGCTTTTTACTATTTGCAGTATAACTCCTGAATTTGAAGTTATACACAAAGTCATATTTTAATGGATTTTGGTTGGCTCTTCTGTTTATAGAAAGAGGAAGGTAGTGTTTTCACATTTCCTTGAAATCTGAGATTTATTACTTTCAGGTCAGTGATTTATCACTTCTGCTATAGAGATGAAAATGTGCAAGAAATAACCTCTCTTAAATCTCAGTAAGAAGTAACCACGTAGTAAACACTCAGGAATACTCTGGACTCCTGAAAGGTTTCATTAAACTCCGCAATAATAGAAGCTAGAAACATTGGTTGCAAGCAACATAAGTACATAATGAACTATTTCCCATGTCTTTGTTTTTAACAAAAGTACAACGGAGTTGAAGGCAGCAGGAAAAGAGAATGTTGTCTTCCTAAATTATAAGCAACTTGACAACATACGTTGTCACAACACAACACAACACAAACGGCATTTTGTGAGGATGAAGTTCCTTTATTGATGTAATGGTTTCTAGTTACTTTTAGAAAGCATTTTAAAAGACATTTTGATGGTGATTTTTAAGTCCTTTCTCATTCAGTTAGCACAAACAGTTTTTTCCTCTCAAAGCCACAAAAATGTGACAGAAAAGTGACAAGCAACATGACAAATTATTAGACTGAGCACATTGAATCAAACTCCTCTGTAAGTTCCATTGATTTACTGTACTGAAGTAAGTCACCCTTCAAGTAGGCTCATTTGAATCAGTTATCACTTATGGAGTTGACTCACCAAATTTCCATAGATCTAAGGGGGAATTATGGGCCAGGGAGTTGTCAAATAGCAGGAGGTAGAGCAGCCCTCTTACCTCCATGCCATTCCCATGCCACTTTTTTGCACCCTCTGAAAAGTGTCCAGCCACATCTTTGTGAGTCATGAGGATTCCCATGTAGGCAGCCTTTGTTGGAACTCATTTCCCCATGAACCCATGTGAGTCACAGGAAATCCTCACAACTCACAAATCCTCCTTATGTTTGCCACAGAGAGGAAAATGCCCACCCTTGCACAAATCTTCCAGTGTTGTGTGTAGTTTTACTTGTCTGTAGGTTGGCACTAAGATGGAACTTATTCACCAATTAAGTGATTGTAGGATATAGAGACATAGCTGTGATGTTTCACAGGCTTGTTCATAGCATCTTTAGAAAGAAAGAAAGAAAAGAAACAGGGAAACAGAAATGAAATCTCTTGATAACACTTCTAATTTCTTTTGTGTTTTTTCTTTGTCAGATGCTTGTAACCACTCCTGAAAAATGGGATGTCGTGACGAGAAAAAGTGTTGGAGATGTAGCTCTCTCCCAGCTTGTAAAACTCCTTATTCTTGACGAAGTCCACTTGCTCCATGAAGATAGAGGACCCGTGCTAGAAAGCTTAGTAGCACGCACCTTACGTCAGGTATGTGCAAGCCCCTTTTTGCATAAACATTTTAACACAACATCAGAAGGTTATAGTTACCCTATTAATTATGCCTCCAAGCCATTTAGGTAAAGGTAAACGTTGCCCTTGACATTGGATATTGTCTGTTTTAATTCTTGTTTTTATTGCTCAGACTGTAAGCCGCCCAGAATAGATTCGTTTGAATCTAGATGAGTGAGGCAAGAAGCAAGCAAATAAA